TTATTTTGATATATCACAGTGAAAGATTTATCGTCCTCTTTTTTTTAAAAAAAAAAAAAAAAAAAAAAAAAAAAAAAAAAAAAAAAAAAAAAGGGCCAAGCCAGTCTCCATGATACATTCCTTTAATCCCAGTACTGGGGAGGCAGAGGCAGGTGGATCTCTGTGAGATCAAGGACAGTTCAGTCTGGTCTACGTAGTGAGTTCCAGGCCTAAAAAATCCTAAAATAAAATAAAAGGGACAGCAAAACTTTGAAGATCACTTCATTACAATTTTGTGATGCAGTAAAGAAATAGAAGAATATGTGACATGTTTCTAAAACCAAATGTTTCTCACTCAAATATACGTTTTAAAAAATGTATAAAATATACTGAGACCTTTCTCCTTATTAGTCAGGATACAGAAAGATTCTGATACTAATAGATGATTCCAAAGGTTATTGTTGAGGCAAATCAAGCCCATGTGATAGACGGAAGTGTAATTAAAATGTCAGCACAGTAAATTGTGATGTGTGACTCTTAGAGCACACGCATCATGAACCAGTGTGATTTACTGTTCCTTCTTTTTTCTTTCTGTAAATAAGTGCTACGAACTGACCAAGGTTTGCAAGGCTTTAATTACCAATCATATGCCATAGATCTCTATGGGGATGACTTTTAAGTTAAAAAAAAGTTTTTAATCTCTGCAGTGAAACACAGGGGGAGATTAGAAATTGATTCAATAGTCATCTTAAAAGGAGAAAAAATGGGCTGGAGAAAGACATGCATTATTCTTGGGAAGATGAGACATTTCCATGGCTTATGTTAACCATCTGTGTTGCTGACCACTGAGAAAAGAGCAAAGCCAAGTAGATTTTTTTTCTTTGCAGACAGTTTTCATTTTTGTTAATAATTTTTCTTTTTTTTTAATTTGTGCAATTCAGTTACTTTTTCCTTTTCTTGTTTTTTTTTGTTTTTTTTTTTTTGTTCTTTGTTTGTTTTCCTTATTTCTCATCATCACTTCATATGGGCAGTGAAAATTCAAAGGAGCGACAGACAACTTCCCTGGGATTCCTGGGCCAGCAACCAGTGCAGCCTTCACATCCACCACCATAACTCGCATCACTCAGATCATTGCAGAGCGCCAGCCCTGACTTTCCCGAAGGCGCCTCCTCCAAACAGCCCTCGTAATGTTCCCGGCTTTCCTCCCATTCTGCCATTTCACTCTATTTTTCTCATTCTCTTCCTCTAACCCATTTCATCCTTGGCTTCTGGGGTGTTGCCCGTGTTTTGTTATTGCTGTTGTTTTCTCTGTACTGACAACATGTCATTTATGATACCCCCTGTCTTTTTATTTCCCCCACTGGAAACCATTTGTCATTATGAAAGAATGTGAGGGAAATAGCTTAATGGCAGATTACCTGTCATGCGTGCATGAGACCTTAGTTCAATCCCCATCACCACAAAAATAATAAATAAAGGATAGAAATATTAAGGCTTGATATGCAGCCCAGGAACATTGCATAGAGTTCAGTGTTCTTAGATCTTTGTGTATGTGCAATCATTTATGACATCCATGTCAGAAAATAGCTATGAAATAAGATTATGAATCTGATGCCTTAAGTTGTTAATGGAGAAACTTTATGTTTGTTTGTTTTTGTCTAAAGCAAAATTCATTGTATGTGCTCTAATGTGCTTCTGAGGATCCTGCTGCTCCTCAGCACTTCGAACTCTTGGGACTTTGAGACTCTAATACACTGGCTCCAGGGCCTGGTCTCTCTCTGGGTGGGGTACTGACCAGCCACAGCTGTGTGTCATGTATCTCTCTGGGTTGTTGCTGCTTAGCAAGGGTGGTAGGCTCATCCCCAACATGGAATGTTCCATGCCAAGTCTTCACTCTCTTACAGCAGCAATGGTGTCTTCGTCCTTTTCTCCTACCTCCATGAGTGCATATAGCCTGAGTTCCCTGAACATGGGGACTTTACCACGAAGCCTCTACTCCACTAGCCCACGAGGAACCATGATGAGGAGGAGACTGAAAAAGAAAGACTTCAAAAGCTCACGTAAGTGAAATGCTCCCCTGTGATCGGTTTGGCCTGCGGAGAATGTGTGGGCACTGCAATCTCTTTTTTTCGATGTGTAGTTTTTGTTTAATTTTTGTGGATTTCATACAATGGCCTTGGAATCTTGATGAATGGAAACCTATGGGAAGAGTGATTTAAGAGTGAAACAGTCAAGCAGATGCTAAGTAGCCAATAGCTCTGGATCATGACTGAAACCTGTGATCTATATGATAATGATTGCACCGTACAAAACTTCAGACCGAACTGGTTCATACTACCTTTGCCTACAACATGTTTTGCTTGAGATTTTTTTCTTCCTCTTTGAATATCATAAAATAATCAAAGATGTGGTTTTTCTTTTAAGATGCCTTTCTATTCTGGGTACCTTTGGACATAAACCTTTGTTCTTTCTTTCTAGATTAATTTTATACAAACTCTGCTCCCTTTGATAAATGTAAGGATATCTTGCATTTGTCTAATGTCATGAAAAATTTCAGAATTTTATTTCTGGACCTTCTTCCAGGACAATGATAACCTTGGACGTTCCTTTTCAAATTCTCATTCCATGTGTTTCTTTTCCTTTTCTCATTGTACTGTCCCACTGAGAATCACAGCTGCTGCATCTATTTCTTGATTTTTAAAAATATTTCATTTATTACTTTTACTTTATGTGTATATGTGTATTTCCTGCATGTATGTAAGTGCACCCATGTTGTGCAATGCCTGCAGAGGTCAAAAGAAGGCATCAATTCCCTGGAACTGGAGTTACAGATTGTTGTTAGCCACCATCTGGGTGCTGGGAATTGAACCCAGGTCCTCTGCAACAGCAGTCAGTGGTCTTAACCACTGAACCATCTCTCCAGCCCCATATTTCTTGATTTAAATAGCATATTTTTATTTATTTATAATAGCATATTTTCATTTATTTCATACATGCATATGGTGGATTTCTATCATATTCAACTCTACTCCCCTCTCCAACTCCTCCCACACCCACCCTTGTCCCCCTCCCAACTTCATATCCTGTTTTATTTTTTTTTTTACGTAATCTACTGGGTCCAGTTAGTACTGCCTATATACATTTGGAGCCATCCACTGGAGCATGGTTAACCTGCCAGGAATCACATCCCTAAATAAAACTAACTGCCCCTCTCCCAGCAGACACCAAGTGTCAGTAGCTTCTCAGCTAGGGATGAGGGGACTCCTCTTTCATCCATGCTGGAGTGTTGACTGGCCTGATCTTGTACAGGCATGGTGCAGACGATCTTAGCTACCGTGAGTTAGCGGGTGCAGTGGTCCTGGTCATACCTAGAAGACGCTGTCCACAGACACTTACTCTGAACTTTGACCAGCTGAGTCTCTGTACTTACACTATCCAACACACAAAGATGTTTCTCTGATGAGGATTGAGAACTACAGTAATCTGTGAGTACAGAAATATGGATTTAGAAGGCAGTTTCATACTGTGTTCATTGTACACTGAAGCATTAAGAAAGTTGCAAGAAAGCTCATCTTCACAAGAGCATCCTGAAATCTAGGAACTTCAGTTCTCATTCTTAAAGAGAATACATAGGTCATGAGGCTTTCATATAATAGTTTCAGGGTTTAAAGTGGGTATATGTACATAATTTGTACGCACACACTGGCTTGATGTGTAGTGATCGTCACTGACAGAAATAGGCTAACAGCCCTCAGCAAGAAAGCACCATTAAAAGGAATTCATTAACATTTGTATTTCTGCTTTAAAGATGAGCCACCACGCCACTCTGTTAGGTGAGGCTTGCTGTGTTCATTAAGAGCATTAGTGAACACAAATTAATGATATGTTTGACTGTCTTGGGTTGATATTTGCACATCCTGAATTTTGTATTAGGAAACAAAGCTGAAGCCAGACTTTCCCATAACCAGTTCATAAATTCCTTCTTGAATCAGCATTCTATTCTCCAACATGGTAGAAAGATAAACAGAAACCTGGTTTGACAAATTTCTAGGTCATATTTACTGTAGATGTTAGCCACTAAAACTCCAATGAAAATGTATATAACGGGATATTTACAAAAGTGTTTCAGGAGATCAGACGCTTCATATTTTAATCAAACAGTAAAGCCCAAAATGATATGAACTTTTATTTCCACTTAAAATAGCTGAACACAATAATGATAGTATTCCAGTTTTTTTTGGGGGGGGAGAAAAGAATTACTTAGTTTTATTGTACTGTTCACCCTGGTTCTTCCCCTGCTTTATTTATGTCTTTATTCTGTGCACCCATTTGGTGCCCGCTTTCTAATAGTTATGTTTCTATAACAACCAGGCCATTTATGGATGGTGAGTCATGGAAGTAGTCAAACATAATAAAGTCTCCTTACTGTTGTTGATGAGGCCAGAGTTTGCAAAACAGAACAGAAATATTCTCCCATGTATTTCCAATATAAAATAAGGACATGGCCAGAAAAGAATGAAATAGTCCCACATAAACATTAAAGCATTCTGTATCATTGACCAAAGGGAGAGATACTGGGAGTTTGTAACAGTGTGTCACTGATAGCAGGAAGCTGTCAGGTTTGCTTCTCAGGGAAAATGTGGGCTTCCATGAGCTCCAGGGTTTGAGGGCAGTCACAGAGCCCAGGAACAACTCTGAACCATGTCACAGAGGAAGCTCTCTCAGTCCCTCTTCTAGAATGTTATGGGCCCTTCCCCCACTGCCAGAGCTGCCCCTTTTTCTGCCACCAAGGACAATCTTCTTCCAAAACCCATCACCTACTATTCTAGCAGTATAACTATGCAGTGGATCTAGCTCAGCCCTTTCTGCCCCTGCAGACAGAGCCAGTGTGGTGACCCCACCTGTTCCCAGTTGACCTGGATTGTCCCAAACAGCAGGTCAGAAGACATTCCCGGAATGTTTTTTTGTTTCCTCGGTCATCACTTTCTACTAGAGAGGGTGACATTGAAAAGAGCTCACACCAAGGAAATGAAGAAACCTAACAACTTTTACAGACAGAAGATAGAGGCAGCTTATGGTGGTAAGCTTTCATAAGTGACTGTGCAGGGAACCCTCAAAGGAACAGCTTAGAAGCTGCCCACCACCACGGTCCAATGTGGAGCTGTCCACCTCTCAGGTGTTCTTCAGTTGGGTCATGAGATTCACAGTGTGTTGTGTCCATAGTGGGCGGTCCTAACTGTGAAACAGTTAGACAGAAGTTTCCAATGGCAGGACCAATAACACACATTACATTAACAACCCTCCAAGCTCTTTGTAAATTTTTTTAAATGCTTCACCTGTCTGGTAGTAAAGCTCACAACCTCCTTAAGTAAACAAGCATTTGGCATATTTTTTTTTAACATTTAAAAGCCAAAAGTTTAAAAACCATTGGCTGTCTTTGGCTTCCCCTACTTTCCTTACATTAAGAAAGACAGAAAATAGCAAAAGTATTAGTTCCCAGCAAACGTGAAGCTTTCTGAACGGACCCTGCCTGCGTGGATGGAAAGAAGAGTGAATCCTGAATGCACACTAGCCTAGCCACTGGATTGAAGTGTGGGGTGTCAGCAGCTTAGTCGTATCTCTCTTTACCTAGCACAGAAGCAGACATGCCTTGAGCCAGTAGTTTGAACCTATTGCTGATTTAATAGCTTGCAGGAGTGTCTGCTTCTGAGCAAGAACTTAGCACACAGAGGTCAAGCCATAGGGTTTTAATTCACAAAGCACCTTTCTTTCTTTTGCTGGTTAACCACACTAATGAAGCAGGCTAATCTCCTCCATGTAATATTGGGTATTTCTTGCTTTCTTTTTGCTTTTAATTTTTAAACCTATACTTTACTGTTTTCATGTCTAATAGTACTTTCTAAGAATTTAATATATATATATATATAAATGACATAATTCAGATGAAATTTTGCTATCTAAAAGGTCAGGTCGCAATATATCAGAGGACTTTGAGAAGTAATTGAAAAATCCTAAATTATTTAATATAATCATATATTTAGGATGTAAATTAATAATTTCATATAATTACAGAATCAGTATATGGTACATAAATTCTTTTAAATTCTAAATTAAATAGCCTAGTAATTTATATCACCTCAACTTGTCTATGGATGGAGTTTATAAATTAATGAATTCTCATTGAATGAGTCTTCTTTTATATAAGCAAAATAGTAGAGGTGAAATTACTCAACACTCTTTGAACCAAAAATATAGCAAGTCTCTCCTTTGAGAGTCTTTGCTTTGTCTAAAGTAATCCCACTTATCACTGTTCAGGTTGGCCTGTTTCTTCCTTGTTCTGTCTTAGTGATGATGTGCAATAGCTAACTCAAATGCACTTTTTAACTCTAGTTAAGTAGCCCCCAAACTGTATCAGATTTTCCTCGAATGGAGGAAAGTGCTGATGTGAAAGGTTCAGAGAGGACAGCATTGCAGTTGAAAGCCAGAAAGCTTCCTTAGAAGTGAGTGGAAATGACTTTCCATAGAGGTGCTGCCCTACTGTGAGCAAAGACTGGGAGAAATGCAGCTCTCCAGATCCTGAATGTGGTGTTAGAATCCAGACCAGACTGCCGCTCCTGCTGCAATCCCTGCAACAGCCCCTCTCCTCCCACAGATACAGTCTCTGGATAACAAACTTCCACATGGCTAGGTTCCTCACCTGGGGAAGTGAGTGTACATCAAAGGGTTACTGATGTCCACACATCCTGCCCGCATCCCTTCTCTGCGTCCTGCTGAAGAATTAGAGAGCCTGGCTGCAGGCTTCTGCTGAGATGCCTTTCCCCTTCCTCAGGGAGCTGTAAGATGGGAGCCCCAACCCAACCCTGTCATGTGGGTCCGGTTCCCCTTTAGTCTATGCTGTCTGTCTTTGGTGCTAGACCTGAACTGTCCTGAGAGCCCCAGCCATGTTGTTGTCAACTGTTTGTCCATGGTGTTAGTAACTCTTCTAACAAACTTCTTACCCCAAACAATCCACTGTAGTGTGTCCTTAAGCCCTGCTTCCAAGACCTTTACCAATAGCAAATGGTATCTTCTAATAGCTTTGTGTCATTGATGGCAAAAAGTATGGCTAGGAAACAGAATACATGCAAGAACAATAAAGCCAGACTAAAGAATGGATCTGAGTTCATATATATTAGGCCCAGAGTCAGACGTTGGCATTGTATGCTATCAGCTACCTGCACAGAGTATAGGATTTGGGACTGCCTCCTTCCCCTACACAGTACAGACTATGTTACCTAGAATCTAGCTGAGACACTGATGACAGCTAAGGAGGAACCTGGTTTTTTCATTACCTCTCCTAGACACCACACTCCCTTATGCTGTTAGTTATAGTGATCTCCATGACAGAAACCTTTGGGTACCAAAGAACAACTTCTAGTTCTTTGTGGTAACTCAAGCAGAATCTACATGAAATATTATTTCCAGACAGGAAAATATAGATGATATCAGACAATGATTCACAAAACAGTCATTTGACAATCAAATCTGGAAAACAAAGAGCACTAAAGGACCCAGAAGTCCATATATTCGAATAGTTAAAATAAAGGGTAATGAAAGCCTGAATTAGGGCATTGAAAGTAAAAATGGAAAAGATTTATACAGCATTTCGTTATTCATACTCTAAGAACTTGGCAGTTGATGAGTTGGAGACAGTAGGAGTTGTGAATCAAAAACTACTGTGAGATTTCAAGATTGGAAGACTGGAAACGTGATCTTTTCATAGACATAGGAGAGGAAATGAGAAACTCAAGATGACTCCCAAATTTCAAAAATAGTTTTTAAATATTATTAATTTTATTTTATGTGTGTGAGTATATTGTCTGCGTGTATGTAAGTACACCCGTGTCATGCAATGCCCATGGAGGTCAGAAGAGGGTGTCAGAGTCCCCTGAAACTGGAATTACAGCTGGTTGTTAGCTGCCATGTGGGTGCTGGGAATTGAACTCAGGTCCTCTACAAGAGCAGCCAGTGCTCTTAACTGCTGAGTCATCTCTCCAGCCCCTCAAAAATAATTTAAGGTACTTTGAGATGTGTTTGCAGATGGGATGTCTATGCATTGAAGAAATTCATCACTGAAACTGGAGAGCCAGATTTGAGAAGTCACTGGCAAAGGACATATAGACAGGTTTGAAGTGCTTGAGGGGAAGAATGAGAGAGCTCTGTGCTAAACAAAACCGTGAGTGAGGCTCTGTTTAATAGACAGAAGGTGGGAGAGGTATTGCATGGACTAAGTCAGAAACTAACATCAAATCTTCATCAACACCTAAAGAGCAGTTTCAGAGGAGGAGGTGTCTGAATCCTGTCACTGCACAGTAGTTAGAGTGAATGAGGCCATTGATTTTTTTTTTTTTTTCCAATCAGAAAGTCATCAGTGAGAGCAGCTTTGGCAAAGGGTGAAAGGAGAAGACAAATCTTAAGCAGTGTCAGAATCAGTACAGTTCTATGGGTCAAGGTCAGAAAAGCTGGGAGAGGAAGTGGGAAGTTTAGAAAAGCAGCAAGAGAAGTTTTAAATGGCGCAAAATCACGGAAGTGTTAGAAAGGGACGGTCAGGACTTCAAGGTTATAATCAGCTACATAAAAAGGTTGAGGCCAATATGAGCTACCCATGAGACTATATCAAGATAAAAGAAATACTAAAAGGAGGCATTGACCTTGAAATGTGAGGGAGGATGAAAGGGAAAAGAGAGAGAAAACAGTTCACAGCACAGAGAAGCTGAGGTTGAAGTGAACGTTATCTGTGAAACTCTCAAATAGGTGGATTTTATCATTCTTGTAGGAAATGAAGTTTGACCCTTATAAGGATAGAAGAGTTTGAAACTGATCCTTAAGAAATCAAATAACTTGGAAGAATATTCAACAAAGTATTATAGGGCCCAGTGGAACATAATATGAATTTATAGTTGACTTTCTCTGACAATCTTCAGCAACTCAGTAACAGCAGGAGAGTTGACTGGGAATTTCCAGAGTATAGAGAGTTTAGCAAATCACACGGGGTTTAGCAATCTCTAATGCTTCACTGAAATGGTCCCCAGAGGTCCAAGTGCAGTGTGGAGAGAAATGATAGCAATAAAAGACAAGGAGTAGATGGTGGTTTTACAACTACATGCCACAGAATTTCTCATGAAGCCACGGGAAGACCTCTGGAGTCTCCCATTTCTATCTCAACTAGTGCTGTCCTGTTTATATCTGGATTACAAAGGTGTGTCTCAGGATGCTTTCACTTAGAAAGGAAAAATCTGTTGTACATCATACAGTTTGAAAATCAAACAAGTAGTAAGAAATGATACTGGAATTCAAAAAGAGAAGAAACTTATTTAAGCTGTGGGGACTCGCTAACACAGCATGTGATCAATAAGGAGCATTTAAATATTAAGGTTGTGTAGATCCTTGAAAAGAAGGTGAGGGGCAGCAACAGGCTGTGTTGATGGATTTGCTAGTAATTGTCATTGCTAGGGCAGTGGTACCTCAACGCTAGTGTGTTAGAAGGTTGTCACCATTATAAGGACAAGGAAAGCTACAAGTCAGACCTAGGAGACCAAAGAAATAAGACGTGGAGTCAGCAATGAAATAAAAGAGAAAATTTTGAAGGCAGGAAACTAGGTTTAAAGAGGAGACAGCAGAAATAGAGTATGGAATTTTAGATAGCAGTTTGAAGAGGAAAAACACCTTATGCAAGGAGCAAAGAGTCTTGTAAAACCCTGTCATTGTCACATGTAGGAGAAAGAAAATGGGTATCAGTTGTGGAGGGCTTGTAGTATGTCTTTCCGTTAAAGAAGGGAGGTTAGATGATAGAAGACCCATTTTGGAGAAAGTAACATGTCAACATAGGACCCTTACAGGCAGAAAGCTTGTTCTTTGAGCACAGGAAGCCAGGTATGGTGGGCAGGGCTATGAGAGGCATCTAGGAATGGAATGGCCCTTTCATGGTAAAAGCTGGGGGTGGAAATAAGGCAGAAATGTTTGGCTGGAGACACAGATGAATATTGAAGAAGTGACTGCAGTGAGAGACAAAGGGAGGCTGGAGGCTAAGCAAGAAAAAAAGTCATGGAGAGACCAAATTTGGGGGCAAGAATATATAGTTTAATGACTCTGTGCCAACCCAGTGCTGGAGAAAGATTGAGGTCCAGCCAAACCTTTCCATTCCTGGGGCCACATATAGATTGTTCCCCAGAAACAGAAGGTTTGGTTATTCTTAAGCACGGGTGGCTGAAGTGGGAAAAAAAAATTAGACCCTCCATCCCAGCTCACCCTCTGGAGGCAGGACACAGACACAAGAGGTGGAATGGCTTGCCCCACAGTCCTCCTCAGCTAGTATTCATTTATACAGCCTAGGATAGACCCCATATCCTAATCTCAAGGCTGTCCTGTTCCTACAGTTCCTGGGATTGGGACATGGAGTGGCTACGCTGGTGTCATGAATCAAATGTGACAAATTAGGAGATTCATTTACCTTGTTGAAGTGAGACCAAACTATTTGCTGAAAAATCAGTGTTTTAAATTCCCTCCATTACCAATGAGTTTTTATTTGAAGACCTGCTCTGTTTTGGAAATGCTGGTATTCCTGATATCCGCTTGAACCTAAAGGCACTTTTTTCATGTCTTCTCCTCTAGTGTCATTAGCCTCTAGCACAGTGGGATTGGCTGGACAGGTTGTTCACACGGAAACCACAGAGGTTGTGCTGACAGCAGATCCTGTCACAGGGTTTGGAATCCAACTGCAGGGCAGCGTGTTTGCTACAGAGACACTCTCTTCCCCTCCTCTGATTTCCTATATTGAAGCTGACAGCCCAGCAGAGAGGTGAGGTACTTCTCTTTCCCAGAAGCTTTTCTGCTCTGCATTTCTCACAACAGCTACCTGAATAGCTAATAAATTATGGAACAGTGCTCAATGCAGGAGAGACAACGGATGATGAACTCTCCCTTCTGATGGTAAATTTTTATGTTCTTGGTCAGGTTCAAGAAGAATTATGAGCATCAGTGCCTTTATCTAGCAGATTTTGTCCA